CCAAATACACTTCTGAATGCTGTTGCTATGCCACAGAGAGTTTATACTTGACAAATCAAGTATGCAACATGGATAGAGTTTTAAAACACAGATTTTGGAAATAGAAATAGCATTACTGCCAGGGTCATGTATTTCATCTAGACAGTCGGCTCAAGATGATCACTATACCAGAAACCAAGCTTCTAGTGGATTTTTCCTTGCAAAAAAGAAAGGAATGTTACAGATTATTTTAGAGATGGGAATAAATCATTTATCTGAACTCTTGCTCCTAATTATTTAATACAGAATAAAATCCAGACCTCAGTGCCTGGCCCAGGTTAAAAAGCTGCTACTGAAGAGGTGCATGATGCGAGTTAGAATCCAGTAGCTGAAATGCCTTATGCACGATGCTTCCAAGGCTGCCTGTCATAGGAAGGGAAGGAATGGGAGCGTTAATGAAGAGACGAATCCCTTGGACCTGCCCTGACCCACCCAAGTCCCATGTTCTCCTGCATGCAAATAGCTGGGCTCCATGTCACTCATGTGATATGTGCCTTACATCCAGTTCCCATTGCACAGGCACAACCACAATGATTCCACGGAGATCTACAAGAAAAAATAGATTTTTAAAAAGCCATTTGCTTAGAGCAAGTTCAGTCTTCAGGTAAACCCATTTTCCCAAAAAAGGTTCTTATTTCAGAGCAGAAGGGAGCCTAGAACCAGAACTATATGGAACTGAGCAATAGAATGTGATATATCTAGATTAAGGGTGTAATATTAGGGAATTGTCTTCATTTTATACCAGAAACTAATATCTGGGTTTTTTCTTCCAGGCTGATGGGACTGAAGTCTCATGTCAGATGGTCACGGGCCATAAATCAGTCATTTGCCAAGTCAGCTATCCTGTTTTTAAAGTGGGACAACAGGTACTGCTCAGATTTTACTATACGTTTCTTATACCGACTGCAATGCTTATAAAAGCATTCACCAGTAACAGGCATAGTTTTCTTGTTAATGATTTGGTTAGATTCAAATCACACTTTGGGTTATATGTAACTTGTTCTTCTGGTAACAAACAACGGCCGAAAGATGACTATGAACTACTAATGTGATGTGGCCATGAAAATGCAAATGTGATCTTAAGATATCTCAGGAAAGTTACCTCCAGTAGTGATAGGGAAGAATTAATGCCACTATACAAGGCACTGGTAAGGCCTCATCAGGACTAAATTATATAGTTCTTGTCACCCATAATTGAGAAAAATGAATTTAAATTGGGAACAGGTGCAGAGAAGAGCTTCTATGAAGATCAGAGGAATAGAAATCCTTTCATACAAGAGGCTAAAAAACCTGGCTAAGTTAGCTTATGAAGATCAAGGCTGAGAGCTTTGCTTAAATTCAGGGAGTCACAGCCCTGAGAAGTAAAAAATTATAACTCCAATAGCAGGTCACTATGAAGTGCAGAGTTTCTGCCAAAGCTGCTCCCTCATACAATGTCCGTGGGCAGACACCCCCCAGACATTGGTCTAGCCATGACTCTAGATGTTTGCACAGAGAAATAATTATTATAATTAATTGTATTTGTCTATAAGCACTTTAGATTTGCTTATTGTATAATCTGTTTACTTCTGTTTCTGTTTTGTGTAGGTATCTTTTGATATTAATTTTGATTTTAATCTAAAAAATCTTCAGGATATGGCAAATATAAGTTTTCATGCGATGAGGTAAAGTGCATTGTTATATAATAATTTTGTTTCAAAAAAATCTCCTGCCAGTTTGATGCACAGTTAAAATATAAGAAGTTAACTATTAGAGCCTGTATAATTTGTTTTAAATGTAATTGAGAGTTGTAACACACAAGTGAATAAACTGTGTTTTTCATAAATAGTGAAAGTAATGAAGAGCGAGAAGCAGACAACCAGGTTTATCTGTCAATTCCTTTGCGGTATGATGCAGAAATCCACTTAACAAGGTATGCTGAATGAAGAAAAAGATCAGTCATTTTTGTTGAAAATATTAGAACAAACAGGTGTTTCTGGCTACCTCTATACTGCTCCTCTGTTCGGCAAAAGCTTATGCAAATGAAGCACAGATTAGCATATTGTCACACTTCATTTGCATAATTCATTAGGGGGCATTTTTGCGCAAAACCCCCCTCTTGTGCAAGAGCCGTTCTTCCTCATTTTTTCAGGAAGAACGGCTCTTGTGCAAGAGGGGTGTTTTGCGCAAAAAGGAGCCTTTTACACAGCTCCTTTTTATGCAAAAGCCTCTTGTGCAAAAATGGCCTCTAATTAATTATGCAAATGAAGCACGGCAATATGCTAATCTGTGCTTCATTTACATAAACTTTTGCAGATGAGAGGTTCACTATAGACATAGCCTTTGAGAGACCTTGAGACCTTAGATTCACTACCTTTGTTAGGCTGCTGTTAGAAATTCCTGCTTTATTGAGGCTATGTCTAGACTATGCTCTATTTTCCACAGGACTTTGCACATCTTCTTCTGATCTCACTTTTGAAAGTGGAGCTTTCAAAAGTGAAAGTAGTCTGGATGCATTTTTTTCAGGAAAAAACCCCTTTTTTGAAAAAAAAACCACTCTTCCTTAAAAAATGAGGTTTATGAGGTTTTTTCGAAAAAGGGGATCCGCTTTCGAAAGTGAGATCAGAAGAAGATATGCAAATTACTACTGAATTTGCATATCCTCTTTCAAAAATAGAATGTAGTATAGACATATCCTGAGTGTTGGAAAAATTGTCTTATTCTCTTTGCATAATATTGCATTGCTTTTAAAAAGAAAAATAATAAAAAGATCAAATATGTAGTTACACAATCCTAAATGCAAACATAGCCAGGTACAGGTTTTATAGGAGTTCAGTGGCGGCAACCATATCATTATCTAGCTAGGCGGTGCTGGCTATAACATCTGTCTTATAGCTAGGTCAGCAGAAGAACCACTAACAAAAGTCCTGTGTTTTTAATGATATAATTAATATGCAGTATATACGATTGTGGGATTACTGGCTCCAATATATTGAAAGCCCTTTTCAAAATGGGCAGTTTACATAGGATCAAGGAAAAGCATCATTATCTAGGATAAACCATTAATAGTTATATATGATGTGGTCATGCATAAATCTAAAATCTTACTTTCTGTAATGCTTTTTTCATGCTAAACGATCCCAATAAGCTTTATAAACTTAAACAGCAATCTCTCTGTGGCATCTGTTTAAAACTGGACAGCAACAATAAATTTGAGAGTAGTGCTTCATTTATGGTGGCATGTAGAATACCAAGACTGCACACACAGCTAGCACGGATATAAGTAGCAGTGTTAACACTTAGATACTGTTGTGTAAGTGAGTAGAGTGCCCGACACACCTGAATCTTCATGTAATACTTTACACAGCTCTCTCTGCACCCAGGCCTTGCCTCTAATGGTTACACTGCTTTATCCCACAGCTGGTGCCTTTCCCTGCCTCAGTTAAAAAAAAATCGTTCAGAAGGGAAACACTGGCAGAGGAGAGGGGATGCAGCTGGAAACATATCTAGGAGCAAAACCTTAGGGAAAGTCTTTATGACCTCCCCCATGCCAAAGCTTTTCCCTGCTGCATGAAAGTCTCCAGCAATCGGAAGATGCCTTTCCCTAGTGCCTCCCTCCAACCAGAACCTTTCACTGGTGCAGTGAGTGTGCATGCAGCCTGCCTTTCACTACAGCATATAACTACATGATTCTTACACACCATAGCAAGTACAGGCAAATTTAGACAAGGTGTGAGAGATTAATTTTAGAAGGATTTGACCCACAAATACAGTGTTTAACAGCCCCAATTTTGCAAAAACTAATGCAATATCTTGAAAGATCCAGATGTGACACTTCACCAGGTGTGCCAGTTCCTAGGTTGCAGCAGGAGGATGAATCCATGAATTTTCTCCCAAAACATTTGCTGACTAGCTCAGTCTTATTTGTATCATTCTATGATTTTCTTCTCAAACACCTCTCTTCTATAATGAAATTAGTGTTAAAATGTATGTACTGCTTTATCTGTAATCTTTCAATAATCATATTTTCAAAAATTCTGCAGATAAAAACATTCATTTTTTGTTTACAGCAGCAATAATATATTCTTTGTTTAATGTGTAAATGTCAACATCACTGGCAAAATTTTCCCACTCATAGTATTGCATTGCTGTCCTACATTTCAAATTTTATTTGAGATTGGGCTCCAATAAGAAATCTCCTGTTTCTTAAACAACTGTTTAACATTAAACCAAAAACTAGGATATAAATAATTTAATTTCTTTTTATTACACTTCTGAGCTCTCATTTGCTGATTTATAATGAACCAAAAGGCATCCAATTACATTGCTGCCAAATAAAAATCTATTGTTTTATGTTTCATTACCAGGCTTACCAGCATAAATTTCTATGAAGTATTCTCTGTTAGTAATATTCCTTTCACTGTGAATAATTTGGAAGAGATTGGTCCTGCATTCAATTTTTCAGTGAAGGTTAGTAAACATTTTTGGGGATGAGGCTAGCTCTAGCTTTTCCATATATAGCCTTTACCCAAATAGCAGTCAAAATGATGGTCCTAAGTATATTTAAATGCACTGCTTTATGAATTTGGTCAACAATGAAAATGATTCTAAATAATGGAAGGATGAATACTTCACCACCATAGTGCACAACCTTCACTTGCTTAAAGGTAAAATTGCCACTTAGAGATGGGTATCCTGTACACGTTTGTTTTTCCAATTCCTCACATTAGTCCAGATCTTGCAAAGACTAACATGTGGGAAGCAACTGTCTAGAAAGGAGTACTGCAGAAAGGGATTTAGGGGTTATAGTGGACCACAAGCTAAATACGAGTTAACAGTATGACACTTGCAAAAAAAGCAAACATGATTCTGGGATGCATTAACAGGAGTGTTGTGGCCAAGACACGAGAAGTCATTCTTCCACTCTACTCTGCACTGATTAGGCCTCAGTTGGAATATTGTATCCAGTTCTGGGCACCACATTTCAAGAACGATGTGGAGAAACTGGAGAAGGTGCAGATAAGTGCCACAAAAATGCTTAAAGGTCTAGAAAATGTGATGTGTTAGGGTGGAGTGAAAGAATTGGGCTTGTTTACTCTAGAAAAGAGAAGACTAAGAGGGGACATGATAGTAGTTTTCAAGTATCTAAAAGGGTGTTACAAGGAGGAGGGAGAAACATTGTTTTCCTGGGCCTCAGATACAAGAAGCAATGGGCTTGCATCAAGGGAGGTTTAGAGGTTTAGGCTGGACATTAGGACATTCCTAATTGTCAGGGTGGTTAAACACTTGAATAAATTGCCTAAGGAGGTTGTAGAATCTCCATCACTGGAGATATTTAAGAGCAGGTTGAATAGACATCTGTCAGGCATGATCTAGATGGTGCTTGGTCCTGCCATGAGGGCGGAAGACTGGACTTGATGATCTCTCGAGGTCCCTTCCAGGTGTAGTACAGGCAGTCCCCGAGTTACGCAGATCCGACTTATGTCGGATCCGCAGTTACGAACAGGGCTTTTCTCGCCCCAGAGGACTGGAGCGGCGGGACGCCCAGATGCGCTGCAGTCCCGCTGCCCCCGTCCTCGGGGGCGAGAAAAGCCGCTCCTCGTCTCTCTGGTCTGCAGGGAGATGGGGAGCAAAGCCGCGGAGCATGCCTGCAGGGGGACAGCTCAAGCACGCCCGGGCTGTCCCGCTGAGGGCGTGCTCCAAGGCTTTGCTTCCCATCTCCCTGCAGACCAGGGAGACGGGGAGCAAAGCAGCGGAGCACGCCCGCAGGGGGACAGCTCAAGCGCGCCCGGGCTGT